GTTGTCCTAGCCCTAGCACGGAAGAAACAATAATGGCTGGTCGTCAGTGCCAGTGGTTGGTTTAGATATTGAACTTGAAACCAGAAACTTGTGACGTGCACCTCCCTTTGTTGTTTCTGTTTCCACCCGAAACATAGTTTCGTGTGGCGTTGCAGGGCATGAAAACTTTGAGTGCAAACAAAAAAGAGAAGGCTTCAATGATTGCTCACCACTCCTATTTCAACGCACGCCAAAGAAAGAGCAGGGGATATTTGGGTGTGGTAGCGGAGGTGTGGTAAGCGGAGTTTCAAAGACCCATGTGAACAAACACTCTTTGTTTGTGGAAAATGCTTCCCTGCAATGATCTATTCTTGGGCAGTCCTTTGCCCAAAAAGGCGTGTAATAGGCTGCTCTTAATTTTTGCTAGTCTATCGCGCCAGGATGGACAAGTTTGTCCTTCCAAACAAAACCCCCTCTCGAAGAAAATGTCAGCCACATGGGTTCCAAACCAGCTATCGATGTTCATCCAATTTTAAGTTGGACTGCTCTGCGCACGGCCAAAGGGAAGTTACTTATGGACAGGAATAGAGCGGTGATGTTTGTGTCAAGCCTTCGGACCCCCACATCTACCACAACCTGCAATTGGCTGGGTGCTTCGGGCCTGGTTTTAACTTCAAACAAACCCGCGGCCCAAACGAAGAACTTTTCAGCTGAGAGTGAGCGAGTCTATACCACTTAGAGAACGTTAGGGGAATTCACAGATTGAATGGAAGAATGATCTCAGGTACTTGAAAACTGCAATAGGCAGCGCCTATTATGCATGCAAATTTTCACAGGCGCAAATCAACATCCACCATGGGGATCTGAGACCCCCATTCATTTTGAGACCCCCTATGCAGGGAAAACCCTTTTGGATCAAACAACTCAGACGCCTTCAGGCATATGCACAGATGCACCATGCACATTGCAACCCAAATAGCAATTGGCTTGAAAGGAAAATAGGACAATGGCGTGCAATCTCTCGGGCATCGGGCTTCCCGCCTAGTTTTGGCCAATGGTGGACGAGCAAAGCAAAGCATGTCTTAGGACTGCCAGTTTGTTTTCCTGAACTTCCGCCAAACGGCGAGGTCGCTCGACTTTTAGCCCTGGACTTTCAACAAGATGTGCATGCTTTCGAGCAGTGTTTGTTGCAAGCAAGGATCACCACTGCCAAGCAGAATCGCCTGGACAATCCAAACCGGATTTTCCAGGACCTTCGTACCACCCAAGCCGAACCTGTTCAGATGCTGCTTGCACACAGCACTGCCACTGTTACGAGTGTGGACACGGACGAGTGTGCACTGGTACTCGATTCAGCTAATGCTTTTCGATCAGACCAGACCATTGAACATAATGGTAAGCCCCTCAACATAGTCCACTATGATAGTGATAAAATATGGCTGGCTAATCCGCCGAGCGCACAAGTCGGAGACACGCTGTCACAATCAACACCGGTCACCGACTTGGATGAAATCTACCAAGCATTCCAAAAGGAATGGCTCCACCGATGGGACCGACATGCCCAAACGCCTGATGAACAATGGGACCCCATTGTGCAATTCGTAACTGCCGCAGTGCCAAACCCACCGACCATGGCATATAAGCCAGTAGATTATGAGACATGGCAGCATGCTGTTCGTAAAAAGAAAGCCAGGGCTGCCATTGGCCCGGATGGAGTCTCAAAGTTGGACCTCCTCGCGCTCCCAAGAGATCATGTGGAACCCATCCTGCAGCTGCTATCAGCTATTGAGCAGGGAGACCTTAACTGGCCGCAACAAATAGTCACGGGCCATGTGCACGCCCTAGAGAAAATCCCAGATGCCTGGAAGGCCAGCCAGTATAGACCTCTGACAGTTTTCTCCATCGTATATAGGACCTGGTCTTCGATCCGAGCAAGAGAAACCCTGTCCTACCTCAGCCGGTTCGTCCCAGACCACATCCATGGCAACGTCCCCGGGAGGTCTTGCACAGACTTATGGCTAGGAATGCAACTGCTCATTGAAGAATCGGCCTGTTCCCAAACCCCCTTGGTAGGAGTCGTGGCCGATTTGGTAAAGGCCTATAATTTGTTGCCTCGCCTGCCACTATTGGCGATAGGTTTGCACCTCGGATTGCCTCGACCCATCATTCGAGCCTGGGCCCAAGCTCTCCACCAGATGGAGCGGGCATTTAGTGTGCGGGGCACCATTGGCCCACCACTTCGGTCCACCACAGGGTTCGCTGAGGGGTGTGGATTGAGCTGCAGTGCAATGCTCATTTGCAATATTGCCCTGTCACGTTGGTTGTACATTAGATGCCCTTCAGTCCGCCTATGGTCTTATGTCGATAACTTAGAGCTTACAGCCACCACCTTGGCTGATGCCACACAGGGACTCGACTTGATGACGCAGTTCTGTTCGCTTTTGGATCTGCAGCTTGATGACGCCAAAACATACTTTTGGGCCAACCAGGCTGATGAACGAGCTCAAGCTAGACAGAACCAACAGGCACTGCAGGCCTCATGCCGCGACTTGGGGGCGCACATGGAGTATGGTAGGAAAACCACCAACCACGTCCTCCAAGCTAGACTCGCCAAAATGCCGAGAGTATGGGCTGCCCTGGCCAGATCAGCAGCGCCGTATCGACAAAAGGTCTATGCAATACGCACAAAAGGATGGCCACAGGCCCTTAGTGCCGGCACATCTGCAGGCTTGGGAGAAGCACATCTCAGAACATTGCGAACAGGTGCATGTCGAGGCCTTCGCATCCATGCCCCGGGCATTAGTCCTATGGTCCACCTGTCGCTTGTAGAGCATCCCATGACCGACCCAGGGTGCCATTTGCTAGTTAGCACGGTGTTCACTTTTCGTCGCCATGCCAACCATGACAAAGTGAGCACACTCGTTGATGACATCCTTGGTGATTGGCAAGAGTTGCCCCACAGGCCTGGCCCGTGTCATGTCCTCTTAGATAGGCTGCACATTATCGGTTGGAGATGGGTAGGACAGGGATGGGTAGTAGACCAAGCTGGCCAGCTGCTGGACCTCCTGCAGGGTGCTTCGACAGAGGTACAACAACGTCTGTGCGATGCATGGCAATTACATGTGCAACAATGCGCCAGCCGAAGGAAAACCTTTCAAGGCCTTGAATGGGCCAGTGCGGCATTCACGCTCGAGAAAGTGTCATCACTCAGCCAAGCCAAACTTGGCCTCCTTCGCACGGCGTTGAATGGAACCTTCTTTACGGCTGACACACAAGTTCACAACGAAAAGGCCCACACTTTGACCTGCAAGTTCTGTGGAGCATCAGATTCACAATTCCATAGGTTTTGGGAGTGCCCTGTACTTGAGCCACATAGGCCTTACCCATGGTTAACAGAGCAGGTGAGAGCGGGGGGGCTGCCAAATTGTTTGACATATCATGGGTGGATGGGCCTGCCACAGTCAGTCCGAGAGTTTCGTACCTCACTTCTTCGGCAGCCTGACCTGACCAACCACTTCGATATGCCCCCGTTTCAACCACGGGATTTGTTTGTTGATGGCTCCTGCGTTCGACCAACATGCAAGTACACTCGAGTGGCTGGGTGGAGTATGGTTGCCGCTGATCCTTCTGATATGGACCAATGGTGGCCGATAGCACAAGGCATCGTGCCGGGATGGAAGCAGACGAGCGGAAGGGCAGAAATCTTAGCAGCAACCTCCGCAGTCCGTTTTGCGATCTCACAGGGTCGCCATGTGCGGATCTGGAGTGATAATGCTCAAGTAGTCGATACACTGAGTCAAGCCCTGAGCAACCAAGCCGGCTGTCCAATGCCGACCCAGGATCAAGATTTGTGGTCACCGCTCTTTGCCTTGGCGCACACCGCCTCACCTGACTTGGTACAGATTCATAAAGTGTCCAGCCATCAATGCATGGACAAGGCCTCCTGGCTAGAAAAGTGGGTCTTTACCGGTAACGATAACGCCGATCATGGAGCCCATCATAGCACCATGTATCCCCAGCAGGTCTTTCAACAATGGCGCACGGCAGTCGCCGATCTCGAAGCGGCCAGCATACTCAGGGATCAAATTCACTCGAATATCTTGCAGGTAAGTGAAGCGGCAGTAACCAAAGCCTCCGCTGAGCAACCACCGCCTGATGCTCCCATGAATTTCCCTCTCCCACTGACCGAGGTGACCCTAGCTGCGTTGCCAGATAGACCTCAAACAGCGACCCACAAATTGGTGGGCGATGGGTGGGACCGGCTCGCCCGATGGTCCCAGACCTTCCAAAACAATCAGGCCCCAGCTGTCCACCTTCCCTGGCTGTATATGCTCATGGATTTTGTCTTGACCACCGATTGCGGTGGAGTGAGGCCGGTTCGTAAGTACACCACTTGGGAATGGCTGTCCAGGGCCAACGCTAAGCAATACGAGCTTCAAGAACGTGTCAGGTGGTTCCGAATCTTTCTACTTAGGATCCACAAAACTGAGCGGGTCATGCTGACGACCCAGTACGTGAGGCCTTCATCGCGGGTTACGGTGTTCTGGGCCCACTGCCTTACCGCTCGCATGGCCACGGATCGCTTCAAGGCCGTCGAAACGCACATCCAAAAGCACAAAGCAGTGCTCACCAGTGGAGTAGATCTCTTAGCAATCGAGCTTTAGAGATTTTCCAGGGATCAAGGCATCCCCCGCGAAAGCTGCGGAGCCTGAGCCAATCGGAAAATCGGAAAATTGGAGGCCATCGCTATTAGGTTGGAGGACATTGCTATTATATAGGCTGGAGGCCATCGCTTTTAGGGTGGAGGCCATCTGTATTATGTTGGAAGCCATCGCTATTAGGGTGGAGGCGGCCATCGCTATTAGGGCGCAGGCCTTGGCTATTAGGTTGGAGGCCATTGCTATTAGGGTGGAGGCCGTGTCTATTAGGTTGGAGGTCATCCCCAACCTAGAAATTTTAATGGCTGCCTTGGCATTTCTATATCTGTTGTATTCACCACGCAGTCTGCATGCAACTTCTTCCTGCAACCCAAGGAGGATGTTCGGCCTCTCCGCCAGACGGAGGACCTAACAGGGTCCGGAGTCGGAGTTCTCGCCACGTCTCCCCGTCTTTACGCAGCTCAGAACAGATTTTATCGTTCGTTCTATTGTCTTCTTTTCTACTATTCTATCTACTATATTAGTAAGGCACCTTGCTACTACTAGTCATGCCTTTGTTACTATAGTAGCTTATTGCTACTACTTAGTAGTATTGCCAGGAGTTACTAGTAGCTTCTTGTTTCTACTATGGTGTTCTACCATGCGATACAATCACTTCATGTGTCTTCTCTCACTCCCATTTCAATCCTCTCATTCCGGCCATTGAATCCCCTTGCTGTTACGCATCATAAGGTCTCACCTCCTGCCATGAGAGTATTTTCTGTTTGGATCGGGAGCATCTGAGGGTTCAAGCCGACTTGGGCACTTGGCCGCTGAAATCATTGCTTTGCAGCCTCGGATGGTGAGATGAATCAACCAAACGAACTTATCTTGCAAGATTTCTTGTCGATTCTGAGCTGTTCTGAGTTTCTGTGCTTCTTTATGCTTCTTCATGGAGGCCTTCTGCCCTCATTTTGTGCTTGCAAACGGGTCCCCGTAAGGGTTTGCTCTCTGCAGTCCAGCGTCTGAAGCTTCACGAAAGGCAAGGTGCCCAAAGAGGCTGGGATTGGACCTTCCAGATTGTTGTCGTAGAGGTCCAGGGATTCCAGGTGTGGCCAAACGACTGCAATGTTCTCCTCGGACTGGAAAGCAACACACGTCGCAAGTGTCCCGGACAGTAGCGCAACGGCACAAACGCATCGAAGGTCTTGCAGTAAAGATGCTGGAATGACCCCTGTGAGGAAATTTCCATCCAACCAAAGCTTCCGGAGGTTCCTCCAACCCAGCTGGAGGAATTCCTGCACATTCGAATATGTTTACAGCGAAACTTGCAAGGTGTGAGGCCTTTGCACCCCGCCTCGAAGGCAAAGCTGTAAGAAGCAGCAGGACATAGAAAGCTAGGGCCTCACGATAGAAGCAGCACACATGGCATGAACTTGGGAGGAGCTTCATCTCCACTTCAGAAACGCACGATACTTCAAAGTGCATGAAATGCTACACGTAGAGGAGGGATGATAAAGATATCTGAATGACAAACACAGGCATCTCAAAGGCTCTTCAGGGATACCGCATGAGAGCACTGTCCATTCAGCCTCTTGGGGCATTGCAAGCAACACGCTCAAAGCAACAATGACACAATGAGACATTGTGAGACATCATGAGGCACGGACACCAACATCATGAAACAACGAGATGACACCGTCACCGGATGGACACCTTCTTGGAAGTTGTCCCAATGACCGGTGCTCTCTGCCATGCCCTTCTTGCCCTTAGTCCGAGAAACTGTTGGAACGCCGAATTGGCGGGCGGCTTGATGCCTAGTTTCTGCCAATAACACATAAAGAGCGATCTCTTACGGCATCTCTTTCCTCCAAACTTTTGCCCTCTCTCTCTCTCTCTCGATTCTGCCCAGGATCATCCTTGGTGGCATGCCTGGTCTCCCAGGAAGCTTTGCAGCCACTGTTCTCCACATGCAGAAGCGCACAGGGCACCATCTCCTCATTTTGGCACCAAACAGAACGGGAGAAACACGGCAAATGGCGCCTCTGGTGGCATCTGAGGATTCCAGGATGTTATTCCTTAATCCCGTATCATTAAGTAGTGTTGTCACAGAAGCCTGTCTATGTGACGTCTATCCAAGGCTCCCATTGCCGAAAGGCCACGAAGGAGTTCAATGAAGACAGGTCGCGCAAAGCTGTGGGTGGCAAGGACATCATGCAATTGGAACCTTGCCCGGCAAGCTCCCGCAACAATAACAAGCAAACACGCGCGCGTCGTGCATTGTATCCATCAATGGGCAACCTCTCAAGCAAGCTCTTCAAAAACCGACTGCAACCGATCAATGGCTGCATTGGTCAGTGAATCGTATCAGCAACAAACATGCCCCTCCAGGAGCAGAAAGCACAAGACTCTTTCCAGTGGTTTGGGAAGGGGCTGAAGGTTGATGAAAGTTGTACTCTGGCCTTCCTTCCTGCGGAGAGTGTAAGATGCAGTTTGCATCCAAAAGGAGCAGGAACCAGAACTGTGCACCAAAAAGCGGGTTCTGCCCCTTGCTGGGTCTACTATTATTACTCGATGTGCATAACATGATTCATGACTTTGCCAGCCATACGAATCTCCAGCATACTCAGTGGAGTCCTTATCACAAGAGCGTCACAGATTCTGAATTCTGGGGTGTAAGAGATGCACTGCAAATTGTAACCGTGTTTGGACTTGATCACCAGATATATACTTGGCCGTTGTCCCTTCCTGCTGCACTGATTGCCCTGTGGGCATGTCCAAAGTCAAAGTCAACACCGCTTAAACTGCTTAGTGACTATACATTTTGCGTTGGGCAACTCATGTGAGGCACCAGGAAAGGTGAACTCAACACTTGGCTTCACGCTCCGAACCTCTTTTCTCGTCTGTGCATTGGCTGTTCATTGATTTCCGGAGCTCTGAGTGCTTGGACACTCTGAATCACTTGATGACAACTCGCTGGATTCGCTCCAATAGTCATCGAGATCCTCTCTTCCGCCACAACTGCTCCCAAGACTAGAAAGAGTCCGGCTGGCCATGTTCACCAGCCGTCGTGTCTGCCGGTAGGGCCCTCTTCTGCATGCGTCAACTTTGGACCCAATGAAGGCACCAGTAAGACTGACAAAAGCGAAGAAAGGCACTGAAGATGTCTCACCCACAGCTGTCAACAAGGATGGTTCGTGTAGAGATTCGAAGCCCATCCTCTGTAGAATCGAAACATTTTTCAGCTCATCGACGCCTTGCAGCAGCGCAATCAGGTAGGGCAACAAAAGCGCACCAATTCCGCAAAAGAACCACAAAGTCACAGTTTGACGCATCCAATCTGGGCTTTCATTGGAGCATCGAAGCCATAAAGGCAGAACGCCTGCCACGAGAAAGGCTGAAAAGACGCTCAAGTAGACCCAATGGTGGTCGATCTTTGCTCTTGCAATGCCCATTTGAGTCAAACGAGTACAGCTATCAAGCCCTGCAAGGCACCAAATTAAGGCTCCAATGGTCGCCTTTGCTTTGAGATTCAAAATGCCGGCACCTCGGATATCTTCCCCCGATTCGTAGGCATCACGAAGGGTTTGAGTGTATGCGCCCGCCAGCATCAAAACGCGGATGGCCACGTCCACATCATCTTCCGAGCCCGAAATGGCTGAGCGGATTCGTGCTTCGTCTGCTTCGTTGGTGCACTGAGCCTGCTGCACTGTCTGATGGGATAAATTGTTGGCTTGATCTGTGAGTTGTTGAATCTCCAGCAACTGCAAGTTCAAGTGAGAAATGCAAATAATGTTGAAAATCACTATGACACATGGGATAAAGAAGTGAAGGAAGCCTGCCGTAGCTCCCCAACTTGCGTTGTACTGTATGGACCACCATGGAAGACAGGTGGCACCTGCTAGGCAAATGATGACCAAATGACTTGCAAGAAGTACTCGGACAAAGGTCGTCCATTGCGGTGGCACGAGCGCCGAGGCTGCGGAGACCAAGGAAAGAAAAAGAGAAGCCAACAGAACCTGGAGGACTCCGTCATCGCCAACAAAGGGGATAAGGAGAAAGCGCCATGCGAAGGTAAGCACAAGGCTGACAATTGCTGGGAGTGCGAGAAGCCGAAGAAAAGACTTCCTAGATCGATGAAAGTGAGGCGTAGCTGGCATCAAGCAAATCTTTCCCTTGGTGATGCCCAAATACGCTTCATAGACACACCAAAGCCTGCTGTAGATACTTATCTTGGTGTTTGGGACGACTAAGATGTGGGAAGCTCTCGCCAAGGCTTTTGCAAAAGGACTTTGCAGTACGTCGACATTGAGGAAGTGCTCCATATCCAAGTTCTGTGGATTTGCAAGCAAACAAATGTACATGTTCCTCAAACCTCGGCCACCAGGCCAAGCACATTCCACACCCAACGCTAACTCAATAATACCCTCCACCCACGCATGTGATACAAACACTTGGCAAGGCAAGCCTTCAGGATGAAGAGACAAGGCATAACTCATGCCTCCAGCTGCCCGGGTTCTGGGCTTCACGAAATGCTCATTCACCAAATACAAATTTGGCCCATGGTTGGAGTCCTCATGCCAGGCGTCCGGGAAAACAGGGCTATTGGGGATCTCCCCCATGGACCAAGCGAAGCGAACATCCTCCACGAAGCCCAAGAACTCCGAAAAGGTCACACACCAAAGGTCAGCAGGCACCCGGGTGTGAAGCTCCATGGCATGAGGCGTGAAAGACCGGGGGTGATGAAGGGTTATGTAATAGTTATGGGATTCTTCGATTTTTAGGAAGACATGGAACGTACTTTCTCTCGGTACGGATTTTGGACCACTTGGCTCATTCGTCTCCACAATCTTTGACTCCTCAGTCTTGAGCCCTTCGTCTCCACATGTACATCCAAAGAAGTTGCCAAACCAAGTGCCGTCCGGTGCCTTCATCCATTCCAAGTTGAAAGTTTGCAGACTTTCAGTCATGCTGCCGAGTGGCAGTAGAAGGTCCGAAGGTTCTTCATGCGGCTCCAGCAGTGGGGTAAGGTGCCCCCGACGACTTGGATGACCTTTCCCAGTTAGCCCCATCGAGAACTAAAAAACATCAAAGCAAATTCATGCAAATTCCTTACGCAACAAGACAACATAAAGGATCTGCTCCGGAAAATCGTGTTTTGCACATTTCGAGGTGCAAATGCGCTGAAGTGGGCTAAATCGAATGCGCACAAAGAAGTCAAATCAGTTCTTGTCCATCTCCGTTGGTCCTTCAGCTGGCGACAGGCTGCTTTTGGCCAAGCCGATGAGTCTCAGTCATAAGCCACGGCGTACCGCTGCTGGCTGTCTCGTGATCGCAAAGAACGTGTGCTTTCATGGGCGTTTAACATGCCTTCATGCAGTATAATTTGCAAGAGTTCTCGGGGAGATTCGCAGTCTTTTCCCCTAAATTGAGTCCATCCCGTGCAGATGCAACAAAAGGATCCACCACGGGATCAGCTCACGAAGTTATACAATTTTGTGTGTGACTCATGCGAACTTCGTTTCTGCAGGCAGCCCGATGACCGCAACAAACGGCCAACTGCATGCTAGGGCAGGCCGATAGCCAGAAGAGCCTAGGCTGTCCTGTATGCCATGGATCTGTATGCTTCGCAAGGTCGTGGGAGCAAAAAGCGCCTCCACGGCACCAGCTTGTGGCTGCACCAGCCGCAGGAATTCAAGTGTAGAATTGGCAATGCCTCTCACGCAGGGGCAGTTGCTGGCCCTTCACTGACCGTCAACTGACCTTCACACACCCAAGCCTTTCACAGCCTTCTCGTTGGCGTTGTGGAGCGTCAACGCGAACCTAGAACGCAGCAACCGTCTAGAAGCAATCCGAAACAAAAAAGCAAATCCGAAAAAGCCAATGGCGTGGAAACCGCTGCCATCAATGTTTGACAGTGGGAAGCCAAGACCAAATGTACACTGTACCCCTCTCCAATCCAATGGAAATTAATTCAACTATAATTTTCAAAGGGACAAGTGTGGCAATTGGTGGAGTGCAGGCCACGGCAAGTCGTCATCAATCTCCATGGCCACGATGCGGAGATGACCGTCAATCCATCGGCATGCGATGCGACCTGTGCAGGGCATGCAATATATATATATATATATATTGTTATCTTTTTGTCATTTTCTTTAAAGCCCGCTCCCCTATTAGGTTGGAGGCCATCGCTATGCGCGGGGGTGGCCGTAGCAGGCTTATATAACTAGCCAGTAGTAAGGGTAGCTACTAAGCTTAAGAAGCTACTGGTTGCAGGAATGCCCCCCCGAAGCCCTTGCACTATTCATTGGTTCCTATTCTTTTTGCGATTTGGCATTCTATCTATGATCCTCTCTGATTTTCTTTATCATGTTCTTTGTCTTTTCCTAAGACCATTTAGACCTTTCTTTTTACCCGTGTTTGTTACCCTCATACTACTTGTTTCTGCTGCTCTTCTTCCTTTTGTTTTGCCGTGCATGTTTCCATGCAGAAAAAGACAAAGCCTGGCTTAGTGGCGTGCAAACCAAATTCCTACATCAAAACTGGACACAAAGAACGAGGGCCTAGGGGCCTGGCCTCCACAAACTTCTGGAACCACTGCATAGTCTTCATCACAGGGGCGCCCGTGATCTCCAAAGTAAAACAACAATCGGAAAGACGTTAGATTCCTCAGTGGTGACGCGTCTTCTCTCGAATGCACATTCCCAAATCCCAGCAAGTCACAACAAACAAACAATCAGGTCCTCCAAAACTAGATTATTGCTATTACATAGCGGAGAGGAAACGGCATCAATTTTCTGAACCCAAATGCGAGTTTGTGCTTTCTTCAGTACTTGGATTGCCCCATGCTTGTTTGGTAACTTAGTAGCGTCCGACCGCTCCGTTCGGTTCGCGATGCCAGTTTCGCCCCTCTTCCTTGGCATCCGATCGCTTCAGTGAAGCGTTCAGAGGATTGAGGGTTTTATGCATCGGCCCGATGAACGTGGCCCTGGGAGTTGAAAGAGACGCGTGGGTAGACGAAAGAGACGAACGTCAGATGCGGTAGACCGGAGACGTGAGGTGGTGCAGTGTATGGTTGCTCAATAGACCGGTGAAGATGCGGTTTGACACAACTGAGGATAGATGCACTCAAACAACCTTCTACATGCGACCACTTGCCTTTGACAGCTTCGCTATGCTTCGCTGGTGTACTCGATCAGCAGGGTGTTCTGCAAGTGTTAGTCTCCGTAGGGTGGCAAAAAGCACGAATCACCATCACACGCCTGACGCCTGGGATAAATTTATCCATGGGTGACCTTGATTTTTATTGTCTTGGCGCCAAACAAGTTTCGAATTGGAAAACATCTCTCCGATGAGGATTTGTATGGATTCATCAAAAGTGTGTTTTCAAACAAAACTTCCTTGACACTTTGACATGGCACCACTGCTGGATGCCGAAGGTTCGGCAGGTGTCAGCTTCTCCCGAAGCACAATTGTGAAGGATGTGGTGCCAATCGTCGTCGTTCTCAGAGAAAAGCAAATCCTGCCGAGTCTTAGCCAAGAGATGCCAAAAGTCTTTGCTCCCAGGTTTCCCACATGATTCCACTGCACATACCTACCTCCTGACTAGGCCAGCTGCCATCAGGATGAAAGACATGGTGCCTCGAGGTCCACGGCATCTGGATCTCCCACGCTCAATGGCTCCAGCAGTGGGTTGGGTGCGCTTGGCTCTCCTAAGGTGTGAGAGAATGCGAAAATATAATCTGGATATGAACATTTTGTCTGCAGGAGTGCTTAGCCACTTGCTTTGCGCTCACCAGGAAGAAAAAAACCAATGATCCTCCAAGTCGCGAGGGATTGAAACCCCACAGTTGCCACCTGTGACATGCGAGGCAACCTACTAGCGTTACAAGCCTGACCAAAAGCTACCGCCATGCATGCCACACCTGCCACGCCAGAGCTACAGCTAACCGCCAAGTTCCAAAGCCATAGCACAAAGGGCTGGAACATTGCAGCCTCATGGTGCTCTGGAGCTACCAATTAATTTGGCTTCTACGTCTTAAATCACGGGTGAATGGTGTCTTTGTAAGCCTGGTGCTGGTCTTGCAAGCTGCTCAAATCGGAGACTTGGAAGTGGTTTGTTTGTTATGAAGAGGCAAGTTCAAGGGCTCAGGATTGCTTAGCTTAGCTAGGATCCACCTTTGCCCCAGACACGTCTGTGTCGTCCTTTCGGGCCCGCGGTTGCTAGCGCCATACCCGCGAGTCCAAGCTGGCACCGGCAGCTGCGAGCTAAACGCTCACGTGCTCGGCGGTTCCTCGCCAGGCACAAGGATCGACCTACCCTGCCAGTCCGTGTGCGGGGACGGTTCAGCTTCCTGAGGAACTTCCTGCAACGGCATCACTCACGGCCCTTGTACAAGGTTGCCTCAGACCTCTCACCTGCCTTGAGATCAGTGAGAATGACATGGAAGAACAAGCCATGGAATCCACGCGCTCAAGAATGGAAGCAAGCGTGGGAGAAAGAAGACAAAGAAAAAGTTGCCAAGAAAGGCAAGGATACAGAGAAAGAGAAGTCAGTGGTGTACGCACACGATGGAAGGAAGCTTGTCCTTCCTATGCAAGGCGCCAGTGGCAATGGCTCTTCCTCGGCATCCTCTACCTCTCAGGAGGAGTTGAAGCAGCTTCGCGAAGCAGTCAAGTTCTTTGCTGGACAGAAGGAAGGAGAGAGCAAGGAAGTTCCAGATGCCTACAAGAAGTTTGTAGTGGAGAATCCACGCGATGTACTTCGAGAACAGCAGAAAGAGCTCAACCGCCAAAAGAAGTCTCTCACCCGCATCGAGAAGCTCCAGGCTTCCATTGCCGACAAAGAAGAGAGCTATGCAGCCTGGAAGAATGGGTATCTCGAGATGATCCAGCAAGAAGACAAACGCCATGCAGAAGAGATCAAGCAGCTCTACTCCGAGCTGAAGGAGGTCGAAAAGGGTGGCGATGTGCTGGAGGATGCGGAGCCTCCCACAGAGTCAGCTATGAAGCAGGAGCTGGACCAGATGAAAGCACAGGTTGCACAGATGAATTACTACTTCCATGCTATGGAGCAGAAGAACCAAAGTCTGGTGGGGCAAATGCAGGCCTTGGTGCAGACACTCCGGGAGAACCAGCAGAGCGACCCTGGGGCCCTCTCGCCTCAGCATGTTGTACCACCGAAGCTTGCACATCCACCAGAGTTGAGTGCTGGCGAACCGGAATTGTGGGGTACACCAGGTGGGAAGAGAGATCGTTCCCGGTCACCATGCAAGGCTCACCCAAAGCAGGCAGACAAGGAGGCCTTGGAGGCTGTGACGCAAGCGACTCTTGCACAGATGTTGCATCATGTACCAGCAGAACACCATACTACCATTCTTGCTATGATCCAGGCAGAGCCGCAGAATTACCAGACTACCGAACAGGTAGAGATTCTGGGACAGCAAGTGATGGCACAGATCGATGGGCCAGTCGATTTGGGAGCGACCAAGCCCCCAGGTCATGGTTGTATGCGAGGGCCTTTGCAACCCTTCGGATCGGCAAGAGTGTCTCCCTACACGACCCCGAAGAGGATGCGTGCAGTGAGTGCTTCAGTCAGCACCGAGCGAAGGCGTTCCTCTATACATGCTATGTCGTAGAGGTGTTCTCCTCTTCTGCAGATGGCAGTAATGGGGAGTATGATCGTGAAGCTATGCCGAGCTCTCTTACCTGGTGTGACTCGTGCGCCACTTTTCAAGGTTGCAGACGCATTAGGTATAGTTTCTTTTGCTTTGACATTCCACCCTCTTGGGGTTCTGAGGGTGGTTGCTGCTACGTGCCTACCCCTGGCTTTCAAAAGTCTTGTAGAAGTCAGGGTTTTTTGCCTTTACAGTGTGGCGCCCAATTTCAAGGCAGCCGCACCTCTATATCGTATCCCAGCCTGAAGAATGAAGCTGCATTTGAACAACAGACAAACTCTTCAAGCTGCATCCGTGGCATTCGTGATGATTGCTGCAATCATGATGGTGAAGATGGACATTTTGAAGATCTGGGTAGCGACTGCTTGAGCAAGCATTCCTTTGCGCTATGTTTGCAATTGTATACCCTACTCATGGCTTTCGCATGTGTTTACAGCATCCAGTCATTAGGTGATGTGCTAGGTACCTTCAAAGCAATATGGAGGGGACAACGCCTTCACCGACTGCCAAGGCAAGGTGTCCTTTGGGATGCTATTCTTGGTTGCCTTTTCTCGAGCGCTCTTGAAGGTGTTTTGCTGGAATGTGCGAGTTTTGAGCCTAATCACGATAGCTTTGATGGAGCGAAGGTTCTTGTTTTCCTCTTCCGCAGCCAAGTGGTCTTGATACTTTGGCTTGCTGTGACTCTTTGCTACCGGAGAAGATATGATGAAATAATGCCTCTCCCTGGCAGAAGCAGATTTGCCCAAGGGAGACGTTTGCCATACCATAGGCATCGTGTTGCTAAGGTCAGATGGTTGCACCTTTTCCTTCTCCTACAGATTGTCTCTGGGGAGGTTGTTGAGGTTGCGAACACTGTGCATCGACATGGTGTTGATCATACTGTCACTGAGCATACTGAGGGGCAAGTTGTCTTTTCGCCTTACGGACCCTTGCACCAGTTGAGACAAGCTAAATGTCATTCAGAAGGCCCTATCGGTGGTCATAATACTGTCCTTGCTGATGGTTCGTGGCCTCTCGATGCTCCAGGTTTCTGTCGAGCTAATTCACCTTACGGTGATGCAAGTTTTGTCCTACGTTTTGTGTCCACCACTGACACCAGTTCAGCTGCCGACTTCCGTAGGGACCATGACATTGTGAGTTATATGCAGAGACCAGTTCTTAGGGACCATCTCGCTGAATATGTCCTTAATGTCTACAATGCTGGGCATTGGCAAGTTTCGACATGGGTGCATTTCTGGGATCAGAGAAACCAATGGTCCTTCCTACATAGGCCCCTGCAGGTTAGTCTCATGCAACCTATTAGGGAGCAGCTTACTAGAGCTTGGAGGGACTATCAAGTCCGGCCCAGTGTGCATGTCGTCACTGTCCGCCCTGTGCCAAGAAAACCGACCTTCATACTTGTGCCAGTGCTCCCTGAGACATACTTTGTTGTTTTAGGTAGGGTGAGCACGCCAAGTCGCAATTGGATGGGCACCTTCTTGTTTGGACCTGTCAGGAACTGGAGGGTTTCTGATTTGTTTGATCTTGCGGTGCCTGCAAATCTATGTGTATGGCAACATGACTGTACCCTCACAATAGGGACTGTTACCCATGATTGGTGGGCACGACTGATCCTCTACGAAGGAGCTCTCCTGGCTTTCAAAGAAGAGGTCAGGGATGATAGCTCCTGTTCATCCACTGATGATGGGTCTGACTTTTCTGGCAGCTCCTCTGGTGAAAACCAGTCATGGCCAGATGACCAACTAGAACAAGATGAAGCTGCACTCTTTCAGCAAGGAGTAAACACTGCAACTCCTCAGGCGCGCCATCAGCGGCGTGTGTTAGGAGGAAACACTGCAACTCCTATTCACGGCATTGGTGCTACAAATTTGCCATCTAACGACAGCCGCAATGATGTCGATGTGACTTCTATTGTGCAGCTTCCATGGCAACAGATCTTCGAAGCCGAAGAAGCTAGTGGCGCTGATCTTTTGCAGCTTGACCAGATCACACAGGCTGTTCCTGATATGGTCTATGTTGACCTTCTCCAGATCAGTCACTTTCAGCTTCAAAATGGCGACCCGCTACGAGCCTACTTGGGCCACAGACTCGCAATTGGTGATAGAGCCTTTTTCAGTGCCTATGTATGGCTGATACACGGGGTTGTTGCCCCTTTTGCCGATGTATGTGTCATGCATAGGGAGCGGTCATATACGCGATCTCTGCTGACTGTTGTTGCAGCCACTACTGAGAGTCAAATTTACTGGTTGACCTTGGCGACTCCACAGCCACCGCCACTGACACTACGTGTGTTCCCAGTTGACTTAGTTCTTTTGACAGATGAGCAGTATCAGCAAGCTATGCGGGTGTACCTCATTGATGTACTATACCCCAGCAGTCCAAAACGAGTTGCAGTCTTGTACCAGCCACATGAGACTGTTAGGGACATCCTCTTCAAACTTGGACTTGCTGAAGTTTGCTTTTCCACAACCTACACCTGTGTCCTGGAGAGCGCTGGAGAGGTAGAACCTCGAGAATGGCACTACCTGGATGAGGTCGATTGCTATCATGGTATGAGCTTTGTCCTGACTCTCCGAAGTCAAAGACAGGCAAACAGACAGTGTGGATATGAGGTCGAAGACCAGGCTCTCATGCAAGTCACCGTTCCTCATGGCACACCATTGACATACCGTATTCGAGATTACATCCGAAAACACTCTGGCGGGGATGGCTTCCTGTATGTTTGGCTGCACCAAAATGACAGACCTCATGAATACTGCACACGGTTTAGGCGCTATGGCCAAGCTTCACGACAAGATGACTCCGCCTGGCTGCGAGTTTTCGATCTCACTAGGTCACAGGGATCTGAGGATGCTTTCATTGAAGTCGAACCTCCTCCAATGTATCAGCAGAGGGCACGACTCCATCTCATTCTGTACCCAAAAAGAGCAGCTGAACTTCTACCAGTTTTAATCGAGGCAACGCATCGGGAAACTGTCATGCTGGGATCTGCTTTACTATGGCCAACGGGCAATAGGGTGCAAGTTGAAACACTTTTCAACATTGCGCTTCCAGGGCATGCTTGTAGAGGACTGTCTGAATGTTATGCTATTGTCAGGGGACGCAACTACCTGATTGGGCATGATATGACGCTCTTCGATGGAGATTTTATCCGAATCAGCGAATGGCCAGGACATTCTGACCATGAAGATGAAGATTCCACATGCTACGACAGCTATAATGATTCCTCTTCAGATGCTTCTGCCTCCTGGACATCGGAGTATGATCAAGCCTTGTCTGTGAGAATGCATGAAGAGGGAACAGATAGTGGTG